CGGCACCTGGGCCGACTCACCCAGGGAGCTCTTTACACACACAGGCCGGCACTCCTCGAGGTACTTCGAGGACCTTGGAGTTCCTGGAGACTCCAAGGAACACACTTGGAGAGCCAAATTCCTCTGAGCCTCTGCCATCTCCACCCATTCTCTGCCCTGGCCGCCATCTCCCCTGGATCCAGGCCCAGGTCCTCCTGATACTCGGGGTTTGGCCTCTGCTTCTGCATGTCGCGTTCCCTTGGGCAAGCTCACTCACCTGGTTGTTGAACACCTGGTTGTTGCTCAGCCTCTGGTCCCTTTGAGGCCCCGCCCGGCCCTGGGACGGGTCCACTTGGATGCTCCCAGAGACCCAGAGCTTCCCACGCCCCCGCCGGAGTGTTCTGGAACTCCCATCCCAGTGGTAAGGAGCCCAGGTGTGGCTCTGCTTTCCCTCTCTCACCAGTGTCTTGGGAACCTGTCCCCCTTTTCCTCCCCACTGTCACCGCACTTGTCAAAGCCATCGTCGCTGTCACCTAGGTGAGAGAGGTGACTCAGCGGACCTCCCTGCCTCCATCCTGACCTCACTGGACCTGTTCCCCACTTGCAGCAAGACCCTGCGTGGTCTAGTCTTGCCTCCGGCCTCATTGCTTCTCTGCCCCCAAACTCAGCTATTCTTGTTGTTCGGGAGACTCGCGAGAGTTTGGCTGCCTGTGAGGTCTGTGCAAGCCTGGAGCCCTCGCAGACACTTGGAGAAGTGTCATCCAGTCCCTGCCCTGCTGCATAACTGCATCTCTGCGGGACATGAAGCTTCTTCCAGGAAGCCTTCCAGGGTGCTCCGCCCCTCCAGATGAGGTTGGGTACCTTGTAACAAGGCCTTCCTGTACCTCAGTTGGGCTCATACCACACTGTCTACTCCCTGGAGTCAGATACCGCCAAGCCCTGGTTCTCAGCCTGGCGGCAAGTACTTAAGGGTCCCCTCATATTGGTTGGGTGAAAAAATGAACGAATGAATGAGTGTTGGGGAGTAAAATGGGATGGATGTGCTCATTTTAAGGATGGAGACAGTTCACGGTTGGGATAGGACGAGGGTGGGGGTGCGGACTACGGAATAGGACAAACAATGGGTTGGGCAAGACCAGGGACCCCAAGCCCTCCTCCTTGACCTGCTGCCCCCGGCAGCCACGGAGACCTGCTAACATCTCCTGCAGGGCTGGCTTGGGCCCGGACGGCCCTCCCCCCAAGGAGAGTCACCACAGGCGTGTACAGGTTGGTTTATTTACAAATATACTGATGTCTCATTTTTTGTTGTTGTTTCCATTTTCTGCTTTTGTGGGAAGAGCTGAAGGTGAGAGTGGAAGGCAGGGTGGGGGTGGTGATGTGGTAAACGCTAATAAATAATTTAACAATGACAAGTTATTAAATAAAATGTGTCTGGGGATGGCGGGTGGGCAGTGAGAGTCTGTACAAGGGAAACGGAGGAATGGCCAGTGGCCGGGTCCCCACACCCAGCTGGGCGGGCTCCTGGGGGAACCCCAGTGGGGTGGGGGGGGGGCACCAGCAAAGAGGCTCATTGGAAATGGCACCTCCTCCAAGGGCCAGAGGCTGGAGGGTCCTCCTGCTCCCCCAGCCCCCAGGCGGCGTGTGCCTGGGAGTGTGGGTCTGTGAGCCTCCATGTGCGTCCGGGTGCGAGTGTGTGTCCGTACGTGTGCGTGTGAGCATGGACCCTTTTCCCACCGGGTGGAGCGAGCCCCAGAGCTGTGGGCACTCCCAGACGGAGGTGAGGTCCTCACCCCGGGGGGTGCTCAGAGCTCGGGCTGAGGCCACGCAGGGCTCGGCCACTTCTCCCTGCTCCAGGGCTCCCTGGGTGGGAAGGGAGAGGGCCAGCAGCTCCAGAGGGCTGGGTGAGGCAGGCGAGCCCCCTAAAGAAGAGCCTGCCCCAGCCCCATGCTGGGCCCTGCTCATCCGGACATGGTACACCTCCCCCGCCACCCACTGCTGCCTCCTACAGGAAGTCTCCCAGGATGCCCAGACCCCTTCTCTTACAGGCTCTGCTGGGTCCACGGTCTGACCCTTGGAACCACTGTGTCCCTCTGTCCATGCAGAAGGCGGGCAAGGCTCTGGCTGGGCACTGGCCCTCCTTATCCCTCCTCTGCCGTCACTCGCTGTGTTACCTGGGGCAGAGTCCTTCCTCTCGGAGCCTCAGCTTCCCCAGCAGTCTCCTTGCCCAACGCCCACTTTCTGCCTCTTCCTCCAGGGGCCAGACTCTTCCCTCTTCCCTTGGACCGCCCCCCGACCCACCACAGTGATGATGGTCCTGCTCCCTGGAGGGGATGGGGTCCTGGCTACTCACCGCCCCCCCAAGTCAAGGCTGCACTTCCTCCCGTGAAGTGGGAAGAGCGTGTTCCTCTCAGCTTGCCCAGCCCCCAGCGAGCCTGCCAGCTCTGCGTGCTTCTGCTGGGCAGCCCCGAACACGTCCCCCTTCTCTGGGCCTCAGGCTCCTCATCTGAGAAATGGGTCCTCAGCAAGGTCTGGGACAGAGCGTGTATGTCTCTCCTTTCAGGAGAGCCCCTCGAAGGCCCTACGTCTTGCTCTTCTGTATCCCCACCCCCCAGCCCAGGGCTGGGCAGAATGAGCAGCAGAGTCTGGGGGAGCCTCAGAGGGGAGGGGCGGGGGGTGCTGGGGGCAGCGAGCCCCCGAGGACAGTGAAGGAGTTACCTAACCACAGCCCAGGGGTGGCTCAGGCATGAAGGGCTGAGGTCCCTTCTGGCTTTGACAGTCTGTGGGTCGTGAGTGTGGGTGTCCCTGAACGAGCCCCTGGCCGGGGGCGGAGCCCGGGCGAGACTCGGGGTCTGCGAGGCCCCGGAGTGGCCCCTCACCTGGAGGCCACTCCCCCCTGTTCTCAGCTCCGCCCATCACTGACGGGCAGTCAGAGGGCTGGTCGGTCCCCACCCCTCTCCTGGCCCAGAGTTTTTGGCTGCAAAATAAGGGTGGGTGGAGGACTAGATGACCCATTCCTGAGGCTCCTCCCACCCCAGAGTCCGGGCGAGAAGGCCAGGTCTCCTGGGGGATGCCGTGGGGCACCCGCCCCGGCCCCGCCCCCTGGTCGGGCTGTGTAAAGGCAAACGGGGCAAGGCAGCCTCCCTCCGAAACCAGCACGTGCCCAGGGCCGGGCGGCACCGGAAAGGCCGAGGGCATCAGCTGGGAGCCCTGTGGAAGTTCCGTGTGGAACAAGAAGAACCCAGAAGGGCCGGGCCGGCTGCGAGGGCCGAACTGAGCTGTGTCCACCCTCTGACAGCTGCCCTGGTGACACGCAGGGTGGGGTTTGGGCCCAGGAGCCAGGACGGGTGGGGAGACAGGCCCAGGTCGCTCTGGAGGGACAGAGGTTTCCCCGGCAGAGAGGAGCAAAGCCACAGAGCAGGCTGGCGCCCTTGGAGGGTCCTGGTGAGGGCTGGGCAGAGGGGCCCAGAGGCGGAGAGCCAGCCATCGTCCCATTTGCTCAAAGGCTGGACCAGCAGACCTCAGGGTGGCAGCCTAGGGCTCTAAGTTAGAATTAAAGGCAGGGCTGCGAGCACCTGGCTGAGGACACAGTGACCTCCAGGGGTCACTGAGAGCAGGGCCCATCAGCCTGACCTCACTTCCTTTCGGGCAGGGTTAGAGTTGGGTGAACGTGGGGAGGGGGGTGGCTGGATGCAGTGTACATGGCTCCCAGCAGGGCACAGAGCGGGGCTGCAAGTGCAGCTGGAATGCTTCACCCACGGGGTGTCCGTGCCAAACAGGGAAAGGCCCTGGGGGTCCGTGGGCCGTGGGCGAGAGGCACAGCGCCGGCCCCCACCACACACATGCAGAACACAGGTGTGGCTTGGCTGGCACACGCGTGCGATGGCCGGGGGACTCGCTTACAGAAGGGCAGGGTGAGCCTCCCAGGTTTGGGGTCTCACCCACTCACTGGACCTCGGGCCACATGAACAGAGGCAAGGCCCCTAACGCTGGGGAGGTGATGGGCCTGCTCTCTTTGGCTGGCTGATATCAGTGGGAAGACTGGGTTATGTTTGTTCCACACCCCAGCGGGACAGCCCAGCCATGGGTACAGTTTTAAGAGGAAGAGCTGGAGAGTCTGGAAAAATCTGCCTCTGAAAAGCACGGACTCAGGGCAGAAAAAGGCAGAGGTAAGCTCAGAGGAAAAGGGCAGCTGACTTGGGGGCCTGATGAAGTAGTGAGCTCCCCGTCTCAGGAGGTATGCAAGGAGAGGCTGAGGAGGCTTGGCAGGAGCCAAGCATAAGATGAAGGGCTGAGTGGGTGGCTTGTGAGGTCCCTTTCCGCCTGGAGGTTCTGCCGCCTGGCCCGCCTCGGCCTGGGCCTGAGCGCCCTGTCTCTGCCCTTGGAGCGGGTTGGCGGCCGCCCTGCCTGCTCAGACAGCCCGGCCCAGATCTGGGCCAAGGCCGCTGGACGTCTGAGTCCACCTGCCCCGAGCCACCCCGCCCCCCGCCCCTCCCTCCTCCCTCTCCTGTTGTATAAGAGGGGTCCCCTGCCACGTCTGGCCTCCCCCTTTCTAACCCGGTGGGGCTGCCCCAGGGGCCTCTGTCTCTCAGTGTCTCCCTGTCTCTGTGAGTGTCGGCGTCAGTGTGCCTTTGAGTGTGCGTACCTCTGCACCTGTGTCACTGTCCCCGCCGGTCTGCCCATGTTGGTCTGGGCTCCCCAGTGACCCCCTCAGGGCGTCTGGCAGGCTCTTCCCCACCCCCGCTCCAGGCTCTGGCTGGGGGCGGTGGTCCTGGGCTGCGGGCCTGCCCGGGGAGGAAGGGGCGGTGGGCGCTGGCCCGGGGTACTTGTGCACGGCGTCTCACAGGTGACAGGCACCACACACCGTCGTCCTGGGGCACGCACAAGGGCCCTGCCTTGGCCTAGGCCTGGGCCACGGAGGTTGGCTGGACACAGAGAGGATGTTTAAAAAAATAGAGAGAATTTAAGCTTCCCAAAAAAGATGGGGAGAGAGGAGGCAATGGAGGCCGAGGTGGGGCTGGGAGGTGAGTAGCTGTCCGAGAGCCCTGGTCCCGGGGGCGGCACGGTCTCTGCGGGCAGGACGCAGCGCCCGCCCGCCCGTCCGGCTGCGCCCGGCGGGCACTCCAGCCAGGCCCGGCTGGCCGAGGCGGCACCGTATGGCTGTCTGTAGAGTCTGCGCAGGCGGCGGGGCCGGGGCGGCGAGGCCGGCCGCGGCGGCCCGCGGTCCCACCCGGGGCCCGTGCCCAAGCGTCCGTGCGGCCAGCTGGCTCTCAGGAGGCGAAGTAGGAACTCTGCATGGAGTAGAGCCGGTCGATGGGGTTCCCCACGCGGGCCTGCAGGGAGCCTACGTCGGAGGAGCCCAGGAAGCAGTCGCTGAGGCTGGTTAAGGAGGTATCGCTGTCGATGTCGTGGAAGATGGAGTCGTTCCCTGGGGAGCAGAGCGGGTGTCAGGGTGGGAGTGTGGGCAGAGGCTCCTGGGGACCCTGTCGGCCCTCTGGGCTGTGTGGCCGGAGGTGAGGGAGGGATAGAAGGGTCCGCGGGCAGTGCCTGCAGGGGGGCTGGGGGCGGCAGAAAGGGTCTCCAGGGTGTCCCCTTCCTGTCAGGAGGAGGCACGCGGGCTCTGTGGGCCCTGGGCGGAGGGGCTGTCACGGCCCTGGGCCTGCCGGGCCAGGCAGGGAGCAGGGGCGCAGCTGGAGCTGGAGGGGGGTGGGGCGGCTTACCATAGGGGTTCATGTGGTCACCTGGCATTTGGGGCGGCGTGAGGCCCTGCTGGAAGGGGTCGCTGCTGCCGTAGGGGCTCTGCTCCATGGCCACGATCTGCTGCTGCGGCGGGGCCAGCGGTGTGTAGGAGGCCATCATGCCCTCCATGCGGCTCGACAGGACCTCTGGGGGCAGAGGATGCCTTCACCCGCCGGTCCCGCCCGCCCTGTCCCGGAAGCCCGGGAGCCCCCACCGGTGAACCCCAGGGGTCCCCACAGACCTCCCACGTGTCCTCTGGCCCACAGCCGTCCCTCTGACCTTCTCCAGGGACACCCCGACACCCTGAAGCCCCCCTGGGCCCACAGGACCGCTGAGCCCAGTTAGTGAAGCCTCCTACCCCTGACACATGCCAGCTTCTCCTCCAGAACCAGTTTAATAAAACCCGGAGCCCCCCCCTTGCCTCCTCCTCCCATCCTCCAAAGGCCCTGCTTCCAGGAGCTCAGGCCAGCCCTCAGGAGGGTGGGGGGACAGGCCCTAAGCAGGTGCAGTGAGCACCCTACATCCGGGGGCATCAAGGTGGGCATCCAGGTGGGGCCCAGAAAAGCCTTCCTGGAGGAAGAGGCCGCCCCCTGCATGTGCCTTAAAGAGCCAGCAGGTGTTTGACAGGCCCCAGCAGGGGGCAGCTGGCCAGGCTGAAGGGCAGCAGCCGCAGGGAGGGGAGAAACTGCCTGGGGAGGGGGGAGCAGGGAGCCGGCTGTGGGCGGGGGGGAGCGTGAGGAGGGAGAAGGCCTGGGTGGGGAGACAGGAGCTGAGACCCGGGACGTGGGCTGAGGGCCGGAGGCTGCAGGGAGCCCGCTGAAGCCAGGGGGGGCTACGCAGAAGGGCTAGGAAGGCGGACAAGGGGTGGGGGCCGGTGGGAGGAGGAGGTCAGGCGGAGGGCGTGGGGTCCCTACCCTACCAGGGGGAATGAGATGTGAGAGAAATTGGCTCAGAGGGACCCGAGGGACACTGAGCACATGCAGTGTGTGTGCGACGAGAAGGGTCAGAGGTCAATGGGTGGGTGGTGCTGCTGCTTGCTGAGACCTGGTGGGGGAGGGGCAGGGGTGGTGTGCGCCCCGTGGCGCAGGGGCAGTGTGGCTGTGACGGGCTCAAGGGGACTGAGGAGTGTTCTCAGGGAGGCCAGCTGGGAACACCGGGGGACTCAGGGCTGGCTGGGAGGCCTGGGGCGGCGCCTGCAGCTTCTGGAATCTGGGCTGTCTGGGGGGAGGGGACGGGGGAGAGCGGGGGAGGAGCTGGGCTCCACAGGGGGCACAGGCCCGGAGTCCTGGGTAGAGGGGCCCTGGCATCGGCCCTGAGCCCCGTCTCACTTTGGAGCAGGCAGCTCTGGGGTTCCCACCCCACCCCACTCAGCAGTCCCGGGTCCCCAGGAGGCCTAGCAGACCAGCCCCAGCCCCAGATGTGGAAACAGCATTTTGGCAAAGGCTGGTGCTGGAGCGGGGCTGGCTCCTGCCCCTTCGACTGGCCCCTCACCCTCCAGCAGGAGCCCACCCGACTACCCCACTCCCTGCCAACTTTCTCTGGAAAGTTCCCTGGAGTCTTCTGCTGCTGGATGCCACTGTGGGCAGCGGGCCGTAAGGTCACGGGAGACGCGCAGTTAGGAGGCCCGCACTCCGGGCCGAGGCCCGGCTTCGTCCCTCACTAGCCGAGTGACCCCACAGGTCCCTGAGCCTCACTGGGCCTCAGTCTTCTCATCTGTGAAATGGGGCAGCACAATGCCCTTCCTCCTGCGTCCTGTGGTCGCTGCCACCTCCCCACGGAGCCCAGCTGGTTCCAAGGCAGCAGGGCCCTGAGCTGTGACAGCCTGAGTGGAAGGTTTCTCGTGGTCAGAGGCTGAGCTGGGCCCCGGCCCCGCCCTGGCCCCGCCCTGGCCCCGCCCCGGCTCACCTTGGCCCAGCCGCTGGGAGTTCTGCTGCTCCTGCTGCTGCTGGTGCCGCCTCGCCAACTTCTTCATCTGCAGAGGACACAGGTCGGCCGTGCCAGTCCCTGCTTCCTGCCCCCCACCCTACTCCACTTGCCCGCCCCCCACCTCTACCCAGCAGGGACGGCAGGTGGCCGCTCACCTTTGCTCTTTGGTTCTGAAACCAGACCTGAACCACGCGCACACTGAGGCCCGTCTCTGCTGCCAGCGTCTCCCGGACCTGCCAAGAGCCAGGGAACCAGGGACACAGGTCAGGCCCCTGGGGAGGTGGGGGGGGGGGGGCTGATGGGTGGGCGGGGAGGTGGAGGGACGTCCCAGGCCGGCAGGAGTGGAAGGGGAGGTGTTGGGAAAGGCAGCAGGGGTGGGCCAACCCCGCCCCTCCCGGCCGCCCCTCACCTTCCGGCAGGGCTTGGAGGAGACCTCGAAGGAGGCCTTGAAGGCTCTTCGCTGCTGGGTGGTGAGGATGGTCCGGGGCCGCTTGGGCCTCCGTGGGTCCTTCCCGTCGTCCCCGCTGCCCTTGCTCTGGCTGCCCTGCCCTTTCGCTGGCTTCATGTCCCCGTCCTCGTCCTCACTCTTCACTGTGGGGGACACAGTCCGGGCCATCAGCCTTGCCCCCTCGTGCAGCCTGCTACCCAATGGGACCCCATGGCCTCCCGCCAGCACCTGCCACGGCCTCTGGCGCCCTGGACACCCCCGTCCAGAACGCTAACCTTTGGGAAAACCACTTCCACTAGTCCAGCGCCAGCCAGGCCCCGGGGCCCAGAGAACCTTCTTCCCCGGAGCCTCCAGGGACGAGGAATTGACAGGCAGAGGCCACACTCCAGATGTTCTCACACGGGAGCGCTCGTGACCTCGACACACGCGCGCGCGCGCACTCACCCACCGGCACTCACACACACAGACCGGCACGTGGGCCCACCAAGGCTTGAGCACATGCAGCTCACAGACATAGTCATTCACATGCACACACGCACACATACAGGCAGGACGACCAGGCGTGCGCACACCTGAGCAGGCGCCCACACGCGTGCATGCAGAGGCATGCATCTGCCCAGAGACACCCATGGTGCCGCTGCCACGCTCCGGAGTCGCGGGGCTCAGGTGGACAGCGGAGCCTCCCCAGCCACGGGCCTCCCGCTGCCCCCACATCTAAACTGGTCTCCTTTCTCCAGGCCCGTCTTTCTCCACGTGTGAGCCCTGTGGATGGGCTCTTCCCCGGGAGACCCCTCCTAGCACCTGGCCAGCCTCTGCTCCCCCGCAGGAGTCCAGGCAGCCACAGGCCCGGCCAGGGTGGTGGCCTGTCCAGGGACGGACAGAGGGACAGATGGGCGGACTCACCACCTCCACCCAGGGTCCTGGCAGTCTGTGCCGGTGCTGTGCCCATGGCCCTAGGTTATCCCAAGGGCTTGGCACAGAGGAAGTCACCTCTGCACCCTGCTCCCTGCTCCAGTTTCCCAGGAATGACAAGGTGCCAGCCACCCCCGACTTTTCCCACCTCGAGACTCTCTCCTGGTTGGCCCTCCCTGCCAGGAGGGCTGCCCACTGGCACAGTCCCTTGGGGGTCAGAGCAGAGAGGCGCCTGGAAATGGGGTCTTTCCCTCCAGCACAGAGAGCCCCAGGCCCCCTCCCGTCTGGGAACGAGGGAGCCGCTTGGGGCTGCTGGCCCCGCTGCTGAAGGCTTTGGGGGACTGAACACAAGAGAACACATCAGGTCCCTGCCTCTCCGACATCAGCGGCCACAGGCCTAGCGCCGGCAGACACCCCGCAGCACTGTGCCGTGGTGGCGCCCAAGGCGAGGAGGAGGGAGGGTGAGCCCAGAGGGCCAGAGAGCAGGGTGTGTGTGTGTGTGTGTGTGTGTGTGTGCGTGCACACGTGCAACCCAGTGCATGTGAGCATGGGGATAAATGTGTGTGTAGCTATATGCCTCAGTGCTTACTGTGCATGTGTGTGTGCTGGGCCACGTGTGCATGTGTATGTGTGTGCTTGCACACCTGGGCATGAGTTTTTACATGTGTGGGCATGTGAGCACACATCCATGCATGTCCATGAGCCCATCCATGTATGTTCCTGGGCACAGGTGCCCACCTGTGCATTTTGTGTGCTTGTGCACGTGCATTTGGGATCACATGCGTGCACACATTTGCACAGGTATGCGTGCCTCCATGGCAATGTCTGCAGGTGCATTTGTGTGCCCGTGGGAGCGTGTGTGCACATCAATGCCCACGTGCCCTGCACATGTGCGTGTGTCCACGTGCATGCTTCAGCACACATCTGAGTACAAATGCGGTGCGTTGTCTGCATGAAGCTCAGGTCCCGGGGCCATGAGCGTGCTTCTCCGGCAGGTTCGCCCCCCCCACGGCACCCTGCCCGGCCACCCACCCTGCTGCCGGCGCCCCTGGCCAGGCTCACCGGAGTCGGACTCGTCGGGGCTCACAGAGCTGAGCAGGTCCTTCTCCTTCTCATAGTCCCCCTTGCACAGCAGCTGGCCCTCCTTGAGCACAAACTCGTCGCCCTTGCGCAGCTGCCGCTCGCAGACGCAGCAGCAGAAGCAGCCCAGGTGGTACACGCACTCCAGCGCCCGCATCACGAACTCGGTGGGGGCGATCTTCTCCATGCAGCCGCTGCACTTGGCCGCGAAGAGCCTGCGGGGGCACAGAGTGGGCGCGTTAGCCGGGCTCAGGGGCCCCTCCCAGGTGCCACTGCCAACTGAGAGCCTCTCCCTCCACCACCCTGACCCTCCAGGCCAAGTAGGAGAAACCCTCCCTGGGCACCGAGCCGTATGGGGAGGACCCTGCAGCCCTACTCTTCTGGCTCACGGGACCCAGCGGCCCCGGGGTGGGCACCGGGCACTCGGCCCCGAGCTGCCAGTCTCTCCCGCGTGTTGGCTCAGGGCCCTTCCCACTCAGAGACACAGTGGCCACTAGAGGGCAGAATACAAGGTAAGCCTCCACCTCTCCCCAGAACCAGGTCTGCCCCTGCCCTGAGGGGAAGGGCAGGCGGCCCGCAGGCCCCTCCACCTGCACTCAGGACTCACTCCTCCTCCTCCCTGCCCCTCCATCACCCCCACATCCAAGCAACCCCCACCCTGACCAGCCAACCACCCCGCACAGGCCCTTCCTCTCCTTTCGGAGTGACTGTCCCAGCCCTCTCCCTGGGCTCTGGCCCCTCCATCCCTTCAGCTCACCCTCCAGGGTGACAGCCAGGAAGACCTGTCCAAAACACACACCTGGCCGTGCTGCTTCCCTGCTCTAGACTCCTCCATGGCTCCCTAGTGCCCTCAGGACAACACTGGTTCCTGAGTCTGGCACTCAGGGCCCTCCCTGACCCTGCCTCTTCTCACTCCCTTGGCGGCCCCTGGCTGTGCCCCATGGAAGAGCAGCATCGCGCTGGCCTTTCTCTCTCTCTCTGGCCCGGGGCTTGGCTAACACCTGCTGAAGCCTCTCTTCAGTGTTAAGCATTGCCGCCAGGAAGAGATGTATTTACTGAGCACGTAGGGCCTGCCAGCCGCCGCTCTAAGCACTTTGCCTGCAGAAACACATGGACTCCCTGCACCCGCCCTGTGAGACAGCAACACCAGCGATCCCATTGCAGGGCTTAGGAAACTGAGGTGCTGAGAGGTGCAGTCACCTGCTCAGAGCCACACGGGCAGTACACGAGGGAGCGGATGCTGAGCCTGGAGCGGATCCTGTCCCTCCAGGACACAGCGGACCCGTGTCCCCTCCCCGGTGCGGGGCCGGGTGGGGGCGTGCAGGGAGGCCTGAGCAGCTCGGCCCGGCCCCTGCCCGCACCTACTGACCGCTCCTCCCGGTGGCCCGCCCCCGCCACGTGCCCTGCTCTGTGGGAACTCGGCCTCAACAACACTTTGATGGAAAAATTTATGAAGAATCAAATTATTGCTGCTGGGAGGGAATTAAAACCATTTTTCATTCCCCGCGTCCCCGGGCCACGTCTGTGGGCGCCACCTTGGGAGCGCTGTGCGCATCCCATCCCTCTTTATGGCCGCTGCCGCCGCAGGCGCAGATCACAGCTGCAATTCTCCCGTAATCGGCGCCGCCGAACCGCCGTGAGCTCCGGCCCTCGGCCCGCCTCCCTTCCCGGGGCTGCCATCGGCCCCGCCCACGGGCAGCGGGTCAGGCGCGCTGGACAGGGCCTCTCTGCCTCCTGCCCCAGCCCCGGCCAGGGCACTCCAAGTGGGGGCACCCCTGGCAACCCTGCTGCCCCCCTAGTCCACCCAGCAGGCTCCTACTCATCCTGCAATGCCCAACTCCAACACCGCCTCCTCTGGGAAGCCTTCCTGGATGGCCCAGTCAGGGGAAAGTGGCCTCCTCTATGCTGGCCTGAGCTGCTCCAGCCTCAGTTCCTTCTGCCATAAAGCGGGGTGTCAACAGGACACCCCCCAAGGGCAGTCGTCAGAATTCAGTGACGCTAGGCACGTAACTGGGTGAATGAGGACCACGTCGGAGTGACAGGCTGAGCCCCTGTCAGCTCCCAGCTCTTTGGTGGTCCCACAAGGCAGGGCCTTGCTCCAGCTGCGCCTCAGGGAGGCCGCAGGGAGTGTTTGTGAGGCAGCGGAGTGAAGGTCTGGGGTGGGCGGAGGCTCCTGCCCTGCAGAGCGGACCCCACTGCACCCCAAGCCCGTACCCCAAGCCTGTGCCGTGCACGACTCTGCGCGAGGAGCCTGAGCTGGACTTCGGCTTCAGTTCGGCCCTCTGCCTGGACACCTCTGCTCGGGCTACCCCCTGCCCAACTGTCCACGGTGGCCTCGGGCGGAGACCGGCCCGGCTCTGCCAAGGGGCCGGGGCAGGAGCCAGGTTTGCAGAACCCGCTGCTCTGGCATGGACGATGCTTCCGTCCCGCCACCCTCACTGCCCCTCCCCACCCTCCACCTCCTGTCCTAGGGGTCCCACTAAGGTCTGCAGCTGGCCTCGGTGGCCAAGTGGACAGGCACTGGCCACATCTCTGTGCCAGCTGGGCCAGGGGCTCCAGCAGAGGCCAGCACACCTTGGGTGGCTCCCCAGGGGAGGCCTTCCTAGGTGGGGGGGCGGGGCAGCAGGGGGGGTGACCCGCATTTGCCGCCACTGCCACCGTGCAGCCTGCGTTCCTTCGTTCAGAACAGCCTCGCTAATGCCTTGGCAGCGGGGGGTCGATTGCTACTTTCTCCAAACTCATCAACACAATCTATTATTAATACTTCTCCAAAGGCTCAGTGCCGCCATTACGGAGGCAGCGCCAGCCACTCGGGGCATCATCTGTTATCTAGATTGCAAAAACCCGGGAAATAAAACAAGCGGCGCACACTTTATAAAGGGAATGTGCCATCCGTTTGGTCTCTGAGCATCTCTCCTCCCAATAAAACATCAGGGGGGACACATGAAATACTCGCTCCCAAGTATGGGGTGCCTTTGTCTACCGCGCAGGGGTAAGAGCTGCTGATGGCATGCGTGGGAGGGGCCGGGGCACCAGCGGGGTCCCCTCCTTGCCCCCTCAGCCCCTCCCACCATGGAGGGATTGGTGGAGAAGCAGACCCAGCCACGGGAAGGTGGCACTGGCATTGGCCCAATGCCTGATTCCACCACTGCTGGCTGGTGGCCGGGCAAGTCATTTCCTCCCCGCCCCAGCCTCAGCTTACTGATCTGTAGAATGGGTTCATCAACACTGCCTGCTTCTCGGGGTGAACACGCGGTAAGTTGTCAGTATGAAGCACGGGCACAGAGGGAGGGGTCAGTGGGCGGGGCAGGCCATAGGAGAGCCGAGGTGCAGAGCTGGCGGGGATGGGAGGACGTCCAGCCCCCCCTTCCCCCCAGGGTCACAGCAGCCTGGTGCGAAGGGCCCTAATTTGGTCTCAGTCCTGACTCAGCCACTTGCCCGCTCTGTGACTGTGTGACCTGGGGCAGGTCAAAGTCTCAGTTTCCTCACCTGTAAGATGGGGACAATAGTCCCCACTCCCGAGACTTGTGCTGGGGATTCCAGATGGAAGTGTCCCCGCTGCCCACACTGAGGTGGGAGGCAGGGACAGGACGAGCCCGGGGGTCAGGGCATGGTGGGGGGCCCCGGAGGAGCGGCCTGCCCTCCCAGTGTCCCCCCACCTCCCCGCCGCCACCCCCCACCCTCTCCCAGTCCAGAAGCTCTAAATCCGCAGGACATCTTCGTGATCACGTCACGGGCGCGTGGGCTCGCCGCAGCCCACAGAGCCCCCGCCCCCGCTTTTCATGTGAACTCCTCGCGCTTCCCTGCTGCCGTTCCCTCTACTCCCGATCTCTGCCCCAAACACCCGCCAACGACGTGGAGGGACTTGGCTCGGGCGGCCCCTCTTCCAGGAAGCCCGCCTTCTCCTCTCCAGTCTTAGGTAGGCGGGTGCCTCCGTCTCCGAGTTCCCTGTCCTCACGCCGCCCGCCGCCCTGCTCCACGTTGTGGCACTTGCAAAGGGGACTCCGGTGGACACATCCCCAGGTCCGCCTTCGCCTTGCTCACCTCCGTATCTCTGGTACCTGGCACAAGGCCCCGAGCACTCCGAGGTGAGCGATGCATGTTTGTTGAATGAATATGGAACCAACCACTTCGTCCTGCTCTGCCTGTGAAGCAGGGCAGGCAGTCCCCACCCCCACCCTGGTCTGGTGAGAGCCCCGGCGACCTGCCCTGGGAAGGCAGTATCCTGTGTCCGGGGGCGAGGGGTGGGAGGACGGTAAGTGGGACCGTGGGAGGGCTGGGGCCCGGGAGCACCTGTGTTCCCACCCTGGCTCCATAATTTTTCCTCTGTGTGATGTTGGTCAAGACATTTAACATCTCTGAGCCTCAGTCTCTTCATCTCTGGAATGGGAGTGACGGCGCCTACCTACGGGGCTGCTGGGAGGGAGCGGGTGTCTGCCTCTCTGTTGTCCCACGTGGGCCCAACACGCCTTTGTCGGTCCCCCTCGTTGGAGTCTCTGAGATTCTGGAGAGAGGCCCCCCCACACCGGGGGGTTTCCAGATCCCACCCATGCCTGGTTCTCACGAGCACCCTGGGCTCTGAACCGGCCTTTCCAGCTTCTGCGTGGCTGGAGCCGGGCGGAGCACTCCTGGCACGCGGTTCTCTGCCTCGTGAGCACTACTGGGCGCCGGTAAAGCGCGGTTGCCGCCTGCCTGCACGGGCTCAGTACGTGCAGAACTTCCAAAGGGAGGACTCTGTTCCCCTCCCCATTTCACAGGCGAGCCCACCAAGGGGCAGAAGGCAGGGTGCTCGTTCAAGGTCACATAGTAGCCTCCCTGCTCTGTGCACCCGAGGTTCCTCCGCTTGTCAGTCTCCTCGCCCTGCGCTGCGAGCACCACACCCACGCCTGTCTGCCCTGAGGCTCTGGACGCCGTGGGGCAGCGGCCGGATTCACCCTGAGAGCTCACTTCTCAGTGGGAGCCTGGTACCCAGTAGCTGCAGCTGAGTGTTTGCCTTTTTCTTAAACCAAACTGATCATCTTCCCCTCACACACAGCGCCCCACCCAGGACCGACAGTGACCGTGGGGCAAAAAGTCCCCTTTTAGAGACGCCCTTCCCCGGACAGTCCCGGGCTGTAACTTAACTCCACTCCCCGAGTGTTCGGTTAATGCTCCGTTTGTTACACTCGTCAAACTAGTAAACAAAACCCGAAGCCAGTTTTTGTCGGTGCATCTG